TGTTCAGAGCAGGGCAGGCTGCAGCACCATCTGGAGTGGGAATTTGGGCCTCTGAGGGCTCTATGGTAGGAGCAGGCTAGGCCTGTGTGGCAGGAAGGGGAGGGAGGCTGGCAGCCAACAGGTGCTAGAGTGACTGCCAGTGCATACTGTTGGGCAGTGAACCTAGGGCCTGGGCACCCAGTTCAGACCTGGCCCCATCACTGGCCATCTGTTTGACTCTCCCGTCACCTCTCTGAACCTCAGTGCCCTCTACTGTAAAGTAAGAATGATACACCTCACCTAGCCTACCTCATGGGATATTGTGAAGGTGAAATGACATAATGATATGAAAGTCTTGCCAGTCAGAATAAGCACTAAACTTGGAGTTGGAGAGCTGAGGACTGTGCCCCAAGGGCTGCTTCCTATAAGCAGGGTGGTCTGAGGTGAGTCATTGTATTTCTCAAAGCTTGTTCTATAAAGTGAGAATGGTAATGCCCCTGCCTGGTAATCTGACAGAGCCCTGGCCAGAAGTCCTTTCCTGGTCCTTGGCTCTTACTTGAGAGAACACCTTTCCTTGCATACAAAGGCTAAATCTGTTTACATCATGGCTTCAAAAATGTCCCAAGCATGAGGTACAGACAACAGAGATGCACCCTTTTGCACATACAGTACTGTGTTGTCAGTGATGGCAAACATTGATCTATGGGTGGATAGATGGGTGGACAGACTGAACTATTAGGTATGTCTATGCAGCAGGAAGTATGCCCATGACCATGTACAGGGTTGGCAGATAATGTTTCTATAAGTGTATTGGTATGTTCTGTAAGAATTTCTAGGTATATAGTAGAGCTGACAAGGGACAAGGTTGTAGGCACTTCTTGGCCACAGCCAGCTATTCGAAGGAAGTGAGTAATTGGACCTGTGGTCTCAGGACCGTGGTTGCAGAGGACATCGAGTTCAATTGGTGTAACTACACTGAAACATTGTTCCACCTCCTACTTTGGCAAGTAGCAACTGGGATCTTAATAGCTTACAAGCAGCCATCTACATGCAATGATGGGTCTCTCCTCATCCAGAGCAAAGAAGAATGAAGAAAACCAAACACATATAGAAACAATTAGTCCAAGGGGGTGGTACACCATGCGATCCTCGGCCTGTACAACTACGAGATCAGAAGAACTAGATGGTGCCTGGCTACTACTGTCAACCACTCGGAGGGGGATCTCTGTAGGAGATCCTGGATAGAGTGGGAAAATAATGTGAAAAAAAACTCAAAATCATAAAAAAAAATTTTTTTAAAAGGGACCAGGTTTGCTGGTCTGATAGAGCCTGGTGGAACCACTGAGACTATTGCCCCTAGCTGCCCTTCAGGTCTGGAATTAAACCCACTCCTATGGCTTCCAGTCAAACAAGAGACAGGCATATGAGCTGAACATTTACATTAGGTAGGTACACTCCTTGGAGAGATCAAACATGGGAGAATAGAAGGGATGTGTATGCACAGGGAGACACTCTCAGGAGTGCATAGGAGGGAAGGACACAGGGAAGAGGTATGTGAAGGAAGTGAGAGGGGAGCTGTTGCATTGTGGGAAATTACAGTCAATGTCATGAGATAAAGCGTATATGAGCTACTATATGGAAGATTAATTTGCTCTGTAAACTTTCACCCAAATCACAATAAAAATTAAAAAGAAAAAAAGTCCCAAGCATGGACTCTCTTTTGGAGGTGGTACTTGGATGACCCTGACCCTGGGCCATCTTTTTTCCCAAAGCGCACTTCAGTTTCCCTATTTGTAAATCAGGAAAGTAGACTATTGATGTCTAAGCTCCTCCTCACCTCCTGAGTCTACCTACCATTTTTATCGCAGCAGCAGAGAGAAAACTCACAAGATGTGTGTTAATTGAGCAGCTGACACATCTTGGAGAAAATCACCTGGGGATAATAATGCTTGGAAGCGCTTCATTTACCAAAGACAGAGTAGTTAAGTGGAGTATCTGGAGGAGAGTTTTACCTTGTTTTGTTTGTAGAAATTTCTTACAGACACTGGGAAAGCATTCTCAATCTTCTGAGAAGACTTAGAGGAGCTGGTTTCCCTGTCCATAGCGAGCCCATATCCTGCCCCCTGTGATAATACTTTGTAGTGGCCGTGTTGGTGTTAGCTGCTGTCAAATCATCCCTGACTCACGGAGACCCATGCACAGTGGGATCTGATTGTTGTGATCAATATGTTTTCACTGATTAATTTTTCAAGAGAAATTGCCAGGCCTTTCTTCCTAGTCTATCTTAGTCTGGACATTCCACTGAGGCCTGTTTAGCATCATAGCAAACACATAAGCCTCCACTGACAGATGGATGGTGGCTGCCCATGAGGTACATTGGCCAGGAATTGAACCCAAGTCTCCCACATGGAAGACGAGAGTGCTACCACTCCCCTGTGATGATACTTTAACATACTCTAAATATATAAAGGAGCTCTGGTGGTGCAGTGTGTAAGGCATTTGACTGCTAGCCAAAAGGTTGGCAGTTCAAACCCATCAACTGCTCTGTGGGAGAAAGATGAGGCAGTCTGCTTCCATAGAGATATACAGCTTGGAAATCCTATGAGGCAGTTCTACCATGTCCTATACAGTTGCTATGAGTTGGAATTGACTCGATGGCAGTAGGTATTTTGATTTCATTGTCCCTGGATGTTCAGAAGATACCACAAGGAAGAATACTTCTGAAACCTATCTTCCCTGACCCCTTCTGCCCTCATGCCCCACCCCATCTAAGACTGTGGCTTTGTCTGAAATCACCTTCTTTGAAAGCCAGTGTGTATTGGTTAATAGCATTGACCCTGGAGCCACCTTCCTGGAGTTTATTCCCAGCCTCACCTCTTAGAGCTGAATGATCTCATACAAACTACTTCATCCCTCTCCATCTGTTTTCTTATCTGAAAAATGGGCCTAATATTACTATTTACCTCATAGGAATAATTGTGATAATTAAAGGTGTTAATGATTACAAATCACTTAGAACAGTGCTGGGTACTATAGTTATTATAGACTAGTTCTCTGGGCAGTTCCTGAACCTGCTGCATTATCATCTCCTGGCACCTCATTAGAGATGCCACATCCCAGATCTGTGAATTAGACACTCCAGGGCTGGGCCCAGCAATTTGGGTTTTAGCAAGCCCTCCACATGATTCTGATTTGTGCTTAAGTTTGAGGGCCACTGTTACAGACAACCAGAGCTTCATGTCTCTGACCCAGCCAAAAGGCAACTGGCTAATGACTGCCCTTCTCTCCAGCTTCCCTCTGTGGGACAGGGAAGGAACTATTGCCTTTATCCTGATGGCTTGGTTTCCTACTTAATGGTGACAATGAGCTTTAGACCCTAGGGTATATGTTCTTATACCCTTCTGCTATAGGGAGCCAGGATTGTTGAGCACACCAGAATCCAAGGAAGGAATCCTTCTGCAGGAACGTGTCAGAGCTGTGCCACAGAGGCCTGGGAACCCCATTTACACTGGGAAAGTCTGATGCCTCTGTTTTCATCCTAGCACTGCTGCTTGTGGGCTGTGTGTCCCTGAGCATGTCACTTTGCATCACTTTCTCATCTGTTGTCCCTTTATTTTATGGAGGCACAGAGAGGTAAGGCCCCTTCTAACTCTAAGTGTCGGTGAATCAGAGGCCAATGGTATAGATCATTGGCAGTCTGGCCCCTCCCAGATCCACAGCTACTCAGGATTGAGCAAAGTGAGTACTCTGGGGCTTCTGGAACCAGCCTGACCCAGTAGCCTAATGCCAGGTAATCAAGATGTTGCAGCTGGAAGCTTGGTCACATTCTAATGAAAAAACCTCTTGTGTTTTTAAGAATTGGGAATTTGGGGCTGCAGCTGCTAAGTAAAGAAGTGAGCTCATGAACATGAGTGAGAATGAGTTCTACATTTTTGCAACAAAACCCTTAGGTTCTTCCAGATCAGTGATGGGCATAATCTAAATCATCATCATTATCTTATATTTCACTATTTGCTTTCTGGCCTTCTAAAGTATTTCTAGGTTGTGGTGGTTATGTTTGTGTGTCAACTTGGCTAGGCCTGTTTGAGTGGCTGGGCAGCTGGATATAGTATTCCCCATGATGAGACTGGTAATCAGTTCCATGGTGGAATCTACTGTGAGCAGCTGAGTAGGTGCCTTTTGGTATGTGGTATATTTCCCATATATAAGCAGCAGTTTTGGGAATGGTCTCTAGCTTATGGCATGCTGGAACCCTGTATGTAGCCATGTCATTGTTCAGCAGCTTGCCATGCTCTGCAACCATGGGACTTACAATGGACTTGAATTAATGGCCTGCCATGTGGTTTGGTAACATTGGGACTGTGCCATTTTATTTGTTGACCTTAGGCTTGTTAGCCTCAGCATCCAGTAGCTGCCTGAGTGAAGAAAAGCCTGTAGCTTTAGTGGGCCGAGAGCTGGAGGAAGAGCTGAAGCCCAAGGCTGAGGGGCTTTCACCCAGCCCCTAGAGCCTGGCACTTTGAACTTGGACTTAAAGCCTCCAAATTGTAAGAATAAATTCTTCTTTGTTCAAGCCATCCCATTTGTAGTATATTCTTGTCAGAGCAGCACTAGGTAACCAGAACATAGGTCTATGCAAATTATATATCAAAAGTTTCTTTTCCAGTAACTCTGTCTAATAAATACAGTAAGCAAGGCTAGGGGAGCTGGCTAGTGTCTGACTTTATGAGAATAATGTTATTAATGGTAATAACTAACATTACTAAGCATCTACTATATGCTGGACTCTGAGTGTAGTTAATCTTCATAATTCTGTTAATTAGGTATTATTATACCCATTTTATAGATGAAAAAGCAATCACTCAGAGACACTGAGTAACTTGTATAAAACCAAACAGTTAAAATGTGGAGGAATCAGGAACTGAATCCAGATATGTCAGGCTCCAAAACCTTTGGTTTTTGTACTGCCCCCACTGCCTCTCCCTGTACAGATCCCACCCCTTGACTGTTCCATCTGTCGGCAGGGTATAATTTTGCAGCTGTCCTCGAGTGGTTTGCCGAGCGGGTCGACCGCATCATTCTTCTTTTTGACGCCCACAAACTGGACATCTCCGATGAATTCTCAGAGGTCATCAGCGCCCTCAAAAACCATGAGGACAAGATGCGGGTGGTGCTAAACAAAGCCGACCAGATTGAGACACAACAGCTAATGCGTGTGTATGGGGCTCTCATGTGGTCCCTAGGGAAGATCATGAACACCCCAGAGGTGATACGGGTCTACATTGGTTCATTCTGGTCCCAGCCCCTTCTCATTGCTGACAGCCGCAAGCTCTTTGAAGCTGAGGAGCAGGACCTGTTCAGAGACATCCGGAGTCTACCCCGAAATGCTGCCCTGCGCAAGCTCAATGACCTCATCAAGAGAGCCAGGCTGGCCAAGGTGAGGCTGCCCCCTGGGGAGATGAGCAGCATGGGCAGTGGCTGAGAGTTTGAGAGGAGGTGAGTCAGTGCTGCTCCCCACAACTAGGCTGCTGCCCACCCATGTGACAGTGTCATATAGGCCCTACATCACAGACATCAGATATACCAGTCTGGGACCCAGGGGATAACATAGTATGGTTGAGTTTCAGCTTGAGCCAGACTCTACGAACCCCAGTCCCAGCAAAGTCTCTAGTCTCTCTGGCCTATTTTCATATCTGAAAAATAGAACAGCTGTTAGAGGATTAGGGTAAGATAAAGAATGTAAAAGCCCTCATCACAGTGCCCCATACCCTAAGTAATGCTCAGTAAATGTTATCTGTTGTTCTTATCATCACTGTAATCAGCATCACCATCACCATCCTGTTACTGCCTCCACCTTAACCTCTCCACAGTCTCTCCTTTCCTGCGTGATGCAGGAAAACAGCTCAGTGTGCCAAGCAATATGGGAGCAAATGGGTAGAGATTTGTTGTTGTTATGTGGCATCGAGTCGGAGCCAACTCATAGAGACCCCTCCTTGGGTTTCCGAGGCAGTATCACTACAGCAGTAGGTTGCCCAACCTTCCAAGGAGTGGCTAGTGGGTTTGAACCACCAGCCTTCTGGTTAGCAGTCAAGTGCCTTAGGCACTACACCACCAGAGCTCCTGGGTAGAGATATAAATTATTTTAAAAATAGGAGCAAAAGGAGGAAGAGATGGGGTGTGAATAAACCTAAAAGAAAGGGATAGACCAAACATCTTGATCCAAAGATTTCTCTCTACCCTGGTTTTCAGGTCCATGCTTACATCATCAGCTCTCTGAAGAAGGAGATGCCCTCTGTGTTTGGAAAGGACACTAAGAAGAAAGAGCTGGTGAACAACCTGGCTGAGATTTATGGCCGGATTGAGCGGGAGCATCAGATCTCACCTGGGGACTTTCCCAACCTGAAGAGGATGCAGGTAATGAGGGAGGAAGGGAGGACGTGGAGTTCTGAGACAAGGGACAGTGTTACATGGGATGGCTGAGCAGCCTGAGTATGGAGTAAGCAACCCTTGGATTCTTTAGAATCAGAAAGCAGAGAAAATATCTGGATATTTTCTCTTTGTTGAACTGTGTCTGCTTCAGTAGGTGCCATATCTTGATCTTGGGAGAAACAAAAAGTCCTGGTGCTCCTAATGGGGGCAGGTGTGTTAGCTGATGTCTAAGGGTCCAATAATTCCATTCATGGCCCTCACCAGTCATATCTTGAAGTCTCCAGTATCTCCTTGTGAAGTAGGATGCGTCACTTGGCATAGGTTCCCCAAACACTTCAGTGTTATGACTGTGGAACTTGAGTTTACCTCCAAGCTCTCACTTAGGAGCTATTCAGGACAAGTGAATAAAAGCCCTAGAGATGCAGAAGTCCACCTGGAAGCTCTCATCTTTTAAACACTCTGGGGGCCCCTGTCTTGGGCCAGGTGCCATCACAAGGTATCTCATGTTACTTCCCAAGCAGTCCTCTGTGGGTGACATTTTTATCTTTTTTACAGATGAGGAAACTGAGGTGGACAAAGGCAATTAACTTGCCTAAAGTCTCAGTGTTTTCCAAGCATAGTGGTCACATAGGCTGCAACTCAAACAGCCAAGAGCTGATTCCAAGGTCCAAGCAAGAAACTACCACTTCCCTCAGAAAAAGAAGGAAAGAGGGGTGGGGAAGAAAAGGAGGAAGGGATGAAGGGAAAGGGAAGGGAAGGAGGGAGGGAAGGAGGGAGGGAAGGAGGGAAGGAAGGTAGAAAGGAAGGTAGGAAGGTAGGAAGGAAAGGTTTTGAGTACCACACAGGGAAATCATTATGCAAGTTAGCACTTGTGTGGCGTCATGGAGAGGAAAGTGATAATCCAGTACTGGGTATTACAATCTCCATTCTGGATCCTGACAGAGTTAAAAGGGGAGAAGAGACTACTGTGCATTGGTTTATAATTTCCAAAATGTGGTATTGCTTATATTTTATTGGAGAAGAGTTGAGAGTATCCAAATTCCCATAATCCATTGAAAATGTCTGCTTCCCTTCTTCATTTATGCCTCCTCAAAGAGCTTTCCCACCACAAGCACCTATTAAAAAAAAGAAAAGAAACTATTACCTCACAACCAATTCCTCTCTGAGTTTCATTCTTCTCATCTGTAAACTGAGGCTACAAAATCATCCACTTTATTTGGTTGTTGTGAGCATGAATCTGATCATATCTATGAGACATTCAACACAGAGCCTGGCACAGAATAAGCCCTTGATATGCTAACCAGAATGCTAGTGGTTCAAACCCACCAGCCACTCCTCAGAAGGAAGGTTGAGTGATCTACTTCCATAGTGATACCACCCCAGAAATCCAAGGAGGGGTTGCTGTGAGTCGGATCCGACTCCATGGCAGTGAGTTTTTTTTTTTTTTTTTGGTGCAGTAGCAATAGTTATGTAAGATGTCATCGTTGTGATTGACACAAGAGACTTCGTGGCACTATTTTTTCAACTTTCTGTGATTCTATAACTATTTCAAGATAAAAGCTTTTTTAAAATTAAGTCAATAAAAGACAACAAAATATTAGCAATAATAGTAATAAATGTTGCTGCTGTTATTATTATTATTTTGTGGTACTAAATTCTTTTTGACCTCCAAGTCTATATTCTTTATAGTCTCACAATACCTTGATACTCTGTGGAACTCATGCTAGGTGAGTTTTGAGCCAATGATATTTAAATTGGGAACCAGTTTCTCAGATTATGGTTTTCAGAACATTACTTTAGTCCTAGAAAGGTATTTTCAGCTCCCTAATAGAACAAAAAAAAAAAAAAAAAATTCAAAATATGCATTTGTCCATATATATTCATTTATAATCACCTACTATGAGCACATCACTAATTTCAGAATTGCTTCTGTATGTGTTTGACAATCAGCCATAGCTTGGGACATTTCAGCTTTTAGTTTTTCCTTCTGTTAAGGATTTACTGTTCTGTAAGCAAACATTTGGGAAGATGATATTTTAAAGGGACCACATGAGCCCTTTTTTTAATGTGATGAATCCTTTTGCAACACAGAAGATGATTTCACCTTCTGATTTGTTTGCCAGGCCGCTGCTGTGTTTTGTTGTTAAGTGTACTGAATCGATAATGTAAAGCCTGAGGGGGTGGGGAGTGTATGTGTGCATGTGTATGTGTATGTGTGAGGTAACGAGAGCACTCCCTTTGCCCCGTGGAAGATATTGGGACCCCCTTCTTAGGAGCCCTGGGTCATACCAATGGTTAATATGCTTGCTGCTAATTGAAAGGTTGGGAGCTCTGGTAGCGTAGTGCCTAAGGTACTTGACTGCTAACCAGAAGGCTGGCAGTTCAAACCCACCAGCCACTCCTCAGAAGGAAGATGGGGCAATCTACTTCTGTAGTGATACTGCCTCGGAAACCCAATTTACTTCCATAGTGATACTGCCTCGGAAACCCAAGGAGGGGTCACTATGAGTCAGGTCGGACTTGACAGCACATAACAACAACAACAACAACAATTGAAAGGTTGGAAGCTCAAGTCTATCCAAAGATGCTTCAGAAGAAAGACCTGGTGATCCACATCCAAAAGGCAGCCATTGAAAACCCTGTGGAGCACAGTTCTCTGACACACATGGGGTCACCATGAGTAAGAATCAGCTCGACAGTAGCTGTTTTTTTGTTTTGCTTGGGATCCCACCAAGCACATCTAGATATGAACAGACTGGGTGAGAAGTGGAGGAATTAGAGGTAGAAGGGGCCTTGGGAAGTTATGCTTTGGTCAGGAGAAAGGGCATTGTTGGCTCTTGCCCTCCACATCCCAACTCAACTCCCTGCTTCAGCCCTGCCCTAGAAGGGAGGTGAGAAATGTCCTAGCTAACATTTGCTCTTGGAATGTAGCTGTGGTGTTTTCTGAATTTTTCTGCAGTGATCTCAATGTGCTTGTGCCTGTGACAGTTTGCTTAGCACTGGCAAATCACTGGTGTCCAAGGTCTCCCATGGGCAAAGCCTGGACAAGAGCAGGCAGGTCCAGGAGAAATATGGTATTCTAGACTTGCACCTTTCAGAACCTCAAGCCATGCAAAGTAGAACATATTTCTTTTGAGGATCTCATGTGGATAGTCCTGTGAAGACAAGGAAGGGGAACTTTTCCAAATCCACATGCCTGTCTGTGCCTACAGTATCCAAACCCTGAGCCACTCGCTGCCGTTGAGTCGGATCTGACTCATAGTGACCCCTCCTCGGGTTTCTGAGGTGGTATCACTATGGAAGTAGATTGCTCAACCTTCTTTTCAAAGAATAGCTGGAGGAGAGGCCAATATTTGGAAAACTCTCTCCAGGTAACTCTGATGTGCATACTGATTACCAGCCACTGGTTTGGGGATGATTTTGACTTCTGTTACAATTTGGTGTTTTAGTTGCTTGTGCCTCACTTTTTCCTGCTCTACATGGCGACAGAATGTGATTTTCCTACCTCAGCAGGGAAATGAATGACAGGCAAAAGCACCATCTCTTACCATTGTGTTCTATTCTCACCTTTTCTCTCCTTCTTCCCAGGACCAGCTGCAGGACCAGGACTTTAGCAAATTCCAGCCCCTGAAAAACAAGCTGCTAGACATAGTGGAGGAGATGCTGACCCATGACATTGCCCAGCTCATGGAGCTGGTGCGCCAGGAGGAGACCCAGCAGCCAGTCCAGATGGTGAAGGGAGGAGCATTTGAGGGGACTCTGCATAGCCCATTTGGGCATGGCTATGGGGAGGGGGCTGGTGAGGGCATTGATGAAGCTGAGTGGGTGGTGGCTAGAGATAAGCCCATGTACGATGAGATCTTCTACACCCTGTCACCGGTGGATGGCAAGATCACAGGTGCCAATGCCAAGAAGGAGATGGTGCGCTCCAAGCTGCCCAGCAGTGTGCTGGGGAAGATCTGGAAGCTGGCCGACATTGATAAGGACGGCATGCTAGATGACGAGGAGTTTGCGCTGGCCAACCACCTCATCAAGATCAAACTGGAGGGTCATGAGCTGCCCAGTGAGCTGCCTGCCCACCTCCTGCCCCCTTCCAAGAGGAAAGTTGATGAGTGATTGAGTGGGGGAGGGTGTTCAAGGCAGGCAGGCATTGGAGGAGGAGATGGGAATGGTGATGAGATACACACACACACACACATACAAATGTTGAGAATTGTACTGCAGATGAAAGGAGACACTGGTTTCCAGGTTGATCCTTGTTTGGACACATCTCCAAGTTCTCAGGATTGGTAGAAGCACACAGAAGCACTCCAGGGGCCCCAGGTTTCAAGCCTATGTCTCCCCTACCCCATCTTCCGCTACTCAGAGACCTGCCTTCTTCTATAGAGGCAGTTGACTCGCCCACAGGTGGCCCACCCACCCCCTGACACCACAAGAGCTACAAACCCAGATTCTGAGCAGATGGAAAAGGCTTTTCACTTAATAGGTAATTCACTCTTTTATGGTGCATTTTTTTGGCCCTCTTTTGCTTCCTTATATGAAATCTGCTCAGGGGCTAGGAGTTAGGAGTGAATGGACATGGATTGTTTTAGGGAGGAGAGGTGAGGAACCATCTTCTGGGACACTGAGTCACAGAGTTGAGGATCCATTAGCCCATGAATTCTGTTCTTTCCTAAGCTTGTCTTTCTTGGCAAACCTGCCGTTGAACTCTTTATTTCAAAGAATCCCAGAGAGGGAGAAAGAAGCAGAAAATTGGAAAGAAAACCAGGAAGCTGCCCTATAGTCTTTAGTCATAGCCAGTCATGGTGATGGTGAGATTCCATAGGTTTTGTGAGATCCACGTTTGTTCCTCCTGGGCTGATGTTTGGATGCTCATACTTGACTCACATCTATCCAGCCATCTTCTGTGTGAGGTACTGTGGTTGGCAGTTTATATATACATGATTCCATGTACTCCTCACCACCCATAAGGAAGTATGCATTAGTCTCCTCACTTCACAGACAAGGAGCTTGAGTTTGGGTGACCTGCCCAAAGTCACAAAGGTCACATGTGATGGACAGGGGATTCAGAGCCAATCTTCTACTCCTCACTCTGCTGTGATGATGGGATCTCCTGATCCCAGTGTTATGACCTAGTGACACATCATGGAGCACAAGCCGAGCCTGTAGCCCCATTTTAGCTTTCCAGAGCAGGCTGGTGGGGGAGGGGTTTGTGCAGACTGCATTTGGTGGGCCATTGGTCCTGCCATCTGTCACATAACAGAAGCAAACTGTGCCTTCTGGCTATGGGCCCCATGTTCCTATAATCCAGAAGTCCGACAAAGCCAGCAAGAGAGTGGGCTAGCTGCTGGATACTATTTGTGCCTGTCTGATTTGCATCCCACCCAGTAGCCTGAATCATCCAATTCAAGTACAGCCACCGGCTCTTTTACCAAATGGGACCTCATGCTAACTCTCAGAAAGCTAACTTGGTCCCTGGGTGGAGAGGTCTAAGGTCTTGTTTCCTGAGGGATTCCCAATGGCTCTGCAATGTTCCTTGGCAAATCCTCACCACACTCATTGCCCCTGGATTGCTTTGTGGCCACTGAACCAGTCACTTTATATGCTGTGCTCCTACTGTAATGGAAAACAAAATCAAGTATAACTTATTTTATATCTATGTTCAAACTATAGAGAAAGTTATATGTATCTGCTATGTGCTTATTGCTGCAGTGCATTTGCCAGTAGTCCTCATGCTAATACACAACCTTTATCCTTTGGTACCCTTGGCTCCAGAGCATCATTCCATGTGTGGCTTGGGGCTGAGTTCTTACTTGGGCGTCCTGGTTGCAACACTGGCAGAGATTAGCTTACCTGGTGCTCCCCAAAGGCCAGCATCCCCAAACAGCACCCCATTGGCCTGGTAGCTGCAAGATTCCTGCTATTCCAGGCCCAGTGACCATCCCAGGCCAAACTGGTAGAGCCTCCACTCCTGCCACCCTGAAGTAGAAACCGTCCCAAATCTCCAGGCTTCCTTCTGTATCCACATATTATCTTTCATACAAAATGAAGGGCAAAGGGAGATCAAGGTCAAAGAGGTCTAACTTTCTCTGGAGTCAACTCCAGAGTGACAACCAAGCCCAGCAGATGGACCATTTATCAGTTCTGTACTTTTCTTTGAGCTGAAGGAGATCTGGGAAGGAAGCAGTAGGGAAGGTGAAGTTTCTATCTCTTTTGAAGAGATGGGGATTTCTTTTAGTCCCCTCCCTACTGCTGCTACTTGGACACAGGTATGACTACCTTGCCCTTCTACATTTCCTGCCTCTCTTCTCTCCTGTCCCCTTTAAGACCCCACCCAGGAGAGATCTGTGAGGTGTGGGCATTCCATGTTTGTATTGTTCCTATGTCCCTACAAAGAGGAAATGTTACTCAAGTTCCTCTTGATGAGTGAGAGGACACTTTGGGCAGTGCCCTCTGTCTCCTGCTGCCTTGGGAATATATTAACGTGGAAAGCAGACTCATCATGGCAGTCTTGCAGACAAGAATCCCAACAGACCCCACTATTCTGTTGCTCTTTTCCCCTCGACTACTTAGTCTGAGCCACAGAAATCATCAAATAAGAACAGCAACACCCTTATTTGACCCAGAGAAATTAATCACTGACACTAAAGAGCTAAATTATGACCAGAGTACAGTCCCATACAGGTAAAGGAGACCCTACTGGCTATGGCCAGAGTGGTGAGTGATTGCTTGGAGTCATTCCCACTCAGATCTTGTCCCTTCTATTCCAAGAGCTTGTATTTAAATATGAGCTAGTTAGAATTGGAGTCCCTGGGTGATGGAAAAAGTTTACGCACTCCATGGCTAACCAAAATATTGGAGGTTCACATCCACTCAGAAGTGCTGCAGAAAAAAGTCCTGGCAACCTACTTCTAAAAAATCAGCCATTGAAAACGCTATGGAGCATAGTTCTTCTCTGATACACATAGGGTCACCAGGAGTTGGATAACAGCATCTGGTTAGTCGGAATTAGCAGAACCCCAGTGCCTAAGGCATTTGACTGCTAACCAGAAGGTCAGTGGTTTAAACCCACCAGCTGCTTCATGGAAGAAAGATAGGACAATCTACTTCCATAAAGATTTCCTGCCTTAGGAACCCAAAGTGGATCACTATGAGTTGGAATCAACTTGATGGCATTGAGTTTGTTTTTTGGTATCTAGGGAGGAGAACAAGCTTGATTATTTTCCCTACAAGATGCTAATTGGCTTTTATATACATTCAATCATTTATTCATCAGTTTGTCCATCCATCCATCAATTCATCCATTCATTCATCTCTTTTCTCACTCAAAAAACAAAAGGCAGCTCCTTCAGAAAAGGCCCTGAGGGAGACAGACTAATTCCTTGAGTCAATGAAAAATTCTAAAAAACAGGCTACCTATACCACAGGGATTCCTCTATATGAATTAAGCTCCTGTTCTCAAAAAGCTCACAGCCTATTAGAGGAAATGAGGCATTTAGACAACTGTGGATAACATAAGGAGGAACATGATGAGTACCCTGAGGGAGGTACAGACAAACTGGGGGTTCACAAGACTCATAAATGGCTTCTGACTGGGGAGAAGGTAGTCAGATGGTGGGGGATGAGGGCCAGCACTTGAGCTGAACCTGGGAAACATTCTGGGCTCATCCTCTTGTGTCTATCACCTTCCCTTCCAAATCCAAGAAAGATAGGCAGAATTTTTATACAAAACTTAGAGCATCCCAGCCTACCAAATTGTGATAGACTGAGACCCACTGATGTATTTGAGGAAAAAGAAGATTAAAATTTTGCCTCTGGGGACTGTGCTGGTTTTTCACAGGACTTTTTCAAGTGAAAAGTTAATCAGTGTCTTTCAAGTTGAAGTTTTCAATGCCTGGAGGAAAAGAAAAATGGTAATAGAGGAATGTAAGCTATCCCAGGCAGAAAGATGAAGGAAATGGGAGGATATAAGGGGCACAGCTCTCCTCTTAGCCTCCCACTGGTGGTAATTAGTGTTGTTCACAACATCGTACTTCTCCAGCCCTCTGGCACAAGGGAACATTGTTCTTCCCTGCCTCTGTGAAGTTAGGAGAGGCTGTGCAATTCGCTTTGGCTAGTGAAATATGAACATAAGAAACATATCACTTCCTGGCAGAAGCTAATGGGCAGTTTTCCATTTCCCCTTTTCCTGCTTTGCCAGAAATGTATCTAGAAGCAAGTGAGAAGATGCATCTTTGGTCAGCCTTAATCCCTGGGTCACTAAATCCTTTGCTGACCTGCACTGGACAAGTGGCATGAACCAGACATAAATCCTAGCATTTTAATTTTAAGCCACTGTCATAGGTTGTTTAGAACCCTGCATAACCTAGATTATCATGACCAGAACACCAGATAAGCTCTTCTAGTAGTCTATCAGACATATGAAAAAGGAGAAAATCTTCTAGGAGAATGAATCCCTGCCTTCGTAAGGACTGAAGTCCAAGGAGTAGCAAAAAGACCTTCAGTGTCTGAGTCAAATTCTGCCAGGTTGCAGATCCCAACACTTCATCACTTTTCAAGCTGGAGAACTTTGCATATAGGGAGTCAAACACAATAGAACATGTTTTATCTCTGCAGGAATGGATGTACTAAGGATTGACTAGGCATTGGTCTGGGCTAAACAGTCACCAGAAGTGTATAAAGCTTGGAAAGGGAAAAAAACTACAATTCCCAGACTCCTTTAAAGCCAGGTTCAGGAAGTGATTTTAGGTCCTGCCAAGTAGATATACTCCACTGAAGTGGATCATGCCAAGAGTAAACCCAGTAGCTATAACAACAGCTTCCTGATTTTGTGGCTTCTGATCTATGCTCAAGGAACTGGAGGTCTTGTTTGTGAGGTCAGATGGAAGAGTGGCCCACATGAGTAGACAGCCTTATAAATGATCATATGCTACTTGGTGTTAACTGCTTAACTCTGGTGCCTGAGCGCAGCTGAGATGTGCAGGGGGAACCTGGGCTGCAGCGGGGGAGTCTCCATGGAGGGCAGTGTGTGTGTGTGTGTGTGTGTGTGTGTGTGTTTGGGTCAGGCTAGGGGATATATTGAAGTGGTTCTTGCTGGGTAGATGAAGAGGAGAGGGCATGACAGAGATTTCCAGAGAGAATGATGCTGAGGAATCTTCAAAGCAATAACCTCTTTCTAAGAATCTATAGAGTATGAGTGTGTGC